TAAAGTGCAGGCCTCTTGTCCAGGTCTGAGCATTGTAGCACAGAAGGGGTGATGGGGACGTGTTCTGATTTCATGGCTTATGAGTGAACCATTGAACACTCTCAAAGGTTCCTGAGATCCTGTCCAATGCATTAATTTCTTTTGCATCCGTTTGATTTCCTAATTTGTAATTTGCAAATAATCATGATCTACTAACCCATAACTTGTGTGTGTTTGTCACATTTACTCCCTCTGCAAGCTTTACCCAGAGGCCTTTACTACCTAAGCGGGATAGATCCCCTTTCACCCATGAGAGGGTCTTGTGTCGACTTTACATAGGAAGTTAAGCATCAAGGTAGCTGTAGTGCTGCTGTATCCATTGGTATGTGGAAACTTCTGGTCTGGATATCTGGGCTGCATTGCTGTTAAATTACAGTTCTGTACTAAAAGAATTCATATTTGCAGAGCTAAGAGAGGCTGGATTCTCATTGCAGGAATCTTAGGGTACACTCCATCCTTTATACCATGCACCCATATCTTAAGTTCTGTTATTATTTTATGTTAACAGAGTTAAGGATATACTTAGGAATTTGGGCATCTAGACTGACAAAAATAAAGGGAAATATACTCATTAAGTATATAAATCGTTATATTTCTGTTTTTCTTTATGAATTTCTGGTCTCTTTGTTGTTACCAACTTACCTTCTCACCCTTGTACCCAGGAATCCCCTAATTAAAAAAGAAAAGAAAATGATATTAGAAGGCGTTGTTGGAAGAAGTATCTGATGTTTTTCATTTATAAAGTATAACAAAACACATCTGTACAGTCTTGGAAAATCAGACCACATAAAGGTAGGCTCTGTAACTTCCCTCTGCGCATAGGGAAACGCATGTAGTAGGGGCAAGAAAGAACCTATTTTTCCCTTTAATACACTCTATTCTCAGTTTCACATTTTTTTTTCAAACCCAATTTCTTACCCTTTAGCCTGAAGCTAAAGGAGAAACTATACACTGAAACGCATTGTAGAAGTGACGACCTATAATTGTCCTTTCAAAATTGTTATATTGACTTTTAAACCATGAACTATCACAGCTGAGGCTGTTCCACAGAGACTGTTAGAAAAATTGGCTTTGAAAATGAGCTGAGATAATGGCCTTGAAAATGTCCGTAAACATTTATATCCATTATGGTCCTCCTTCTCAATTCGGTCTAGAATATAGAACATCAAGGAAATGAATGGTTCCTTTATCAGCCCTAATGAGACAGTGACCTTTGAGTTGCTCTATTTTATCTCATGCTAAATAAGGGGCCAGTGCTTCTGCGGCCCTTGAGTGTCGCTCCTGGGAATCCTGCACAGCCTTCTTCATTGTGTCGCTGCCCAAGAGCCCTTTAAGAAATACAATACTGAATGTTAAATGGACTGGGAAATTACCAACTGTAAGCAACAGTGAGTCTTATTCTAATAGGATCGCATGTCTTCTTCATATAACTTTAGTTTCCAAGTATGAAAATAGAATCATAAGACATATTTTAAGAGCGTTGGTGAAACCAATGAATGAAACGAGGTATTCCTGTAGCTACGTGTGAGTCAGACTACAAAATTTTGTTGCGTATGACGGAAAAGTTTAGGAAGGAAATAGCACTTCTCTCCAAATGTGAACTCCCTGAAACATTGAAGATAAAAGTAGAAGTCGTCCAAAAAATTGTTACTCTACCTTTTAATCCATATTAAAAATACTAATTCAGATAAACGTTTTGAGGTTTAGTACTGTGCTTGAAATTAAAGGCCACATTATAGAAAGTTCAATTGGGATTCTTTATAGAAACAATTCATGGTTGCAGCACTAAAAAAGGCTGGACTTCCAATCTCAGGAATCTTGTGGTGCCCTTATAACACACCACCACATTTAAAATTCTGTCATTAAAGGAATATTACTTTTTACAACATACTTTCTTTTTTGTTTTTGTTTTTGTTTTTGTTTTTTTCTGAAATCTCTGGTTAATTTATTGTTTGGTTGCTCTCAAATTTCTTCCTTTCAGGGCACCTTTAATTACTAGTTTTAAATATTCAAATTTAAGATATTCAAAACTACACTCATTGGTCTCTGCAAAATTTGCGTCTGACCTCCCTGTTCCTATTAATGGTACCATCATATTTCAAACAATGATGAACCAAAAGTTTATAGTCATCTTTTCTCCCTACTTGCCCCTTCCATTCTTTTCATCCAGCCAGTTAAAATTCTCCAACAGCTCCCAGGGCACTTGGTTTTAAACTCACTCTCCTTGCCCTGGCTAACAAGGCCCTGTGTGACCTGGCCCTGTCTCCCACCCCACTGTTCATCAGGCTCAGGCTCTCTTCCCGTTTCTCAGAGCCTACTAAGCTGGTTCCCACCTCAGGGCCTTTGTACCTACTGCTCTTTCTGCCTAGAACCTCCTCATGACCTTGTTTTATATTTTCGTAATCCCTCTCACCGACTGAAATTCCTACTCGCTTGTTTGTCTATTTCTTGCCTCCCCTGCACGAAAGCTGCATCACACAGGGACTCTCTGCCCAGCTCACCCCTGTCTCCCCAGCACCTAAAAGAGGGCCTAGCGCATAGCAAGTGCTCAGTGAATACTTGTCAAATATCTGAGGTAGAGTTAGTCCCACATCCTCTCATGTCTGTCCTGTCTTGGTTCTCACAATGTTCTCCTTCTTTCTATTCTGTCATTATTGTAGCCCAGGTCTATCCAATGTCATGGGAGCCACCTATGTAATTTTGAATTCCTTAGTAGTCACTTTAAAAAAGCAACAATGAAAAGATGAAGTTAATTTTTAATACTATATTTTATGTATCCCACTAGGTCCAAAATACTGTCCTTTAACATGTTATCAATCTAAAAGTTATCAATAAGATATTTTACATCTTTTGGGGGGGTACTAAGTCATCAAAATTCTGTGTGTAGCTTATTCCTCCAGCACAGGTCCATTCGGGCTGGCTGTGTTTCCGTGGCTGGGTAAGCAGACAGGGCACACGGCTTTCACACCGGCCGGAGCAGCTCTGGCTGATGTCCCTGTCGCTCTCCTGCAGGCTGCAGTAGCAAACCTTCTTTTAAGTGCTCCTTCCATCTGCTTGTTCCCACTTCAGTTTCTCTTTCAGAACCATGCTAGACCAGACTCATCTTCCAAATATGCAGCTCTTGGGTCATGCGCCTTATCTAAAGCTCGGGAAGTGCCCGTCACCCAGCAAAGCCCAGCCTTCTGGCTGGCATCGAGCATCCACTCTGCCCTTCCAGCCGTGTCTGACAATCCTCCTCTTTAAGCACATTCCCCACGCACTGCCTTCCCTCTGGTGCTGCTCACAGCACTCTCCATCTGGAATGCCTGTCCCCCTCCGCCTTCCTGTTCTGTCTTTACCTGTCACCATCCTACACTCCTCAGGGGTCATCTGGTAGAACCTACCCCTATAGCCCTAGTCTTCTCTGAATGCCCATAATACTTTGTGCATGCAATGTTTACAATATTTTGACTTTCTGCTTCATATTGTAGCTGTTTTTTTTAACATGTAAGCTTTTAGATTTGTGTTTTTTTTAATTTTTTTAATGGAGATACTGGGAATTGAACCCAGGACCTTGTACATGCACTTTACCACTCTATACCCCCACCCCTCTAGGGATTTTTTTTTTTTTAATATTTTATCTCTCCTCAGAGATAATGAACTTTTCAAAAATACAAGTTCTCTGTCTTAGTTTATTTTCCCATATCAGTAGACTTTACACGTGGAAGATACCTAAGAAATGTTTTCTGAATGAATAACACAAATTTCTGAAAGAATCTCCATTGAGATGATCAAACTTTCTATCTGACTTTTTCATGACATTAATTAAAAACACTAAAAGGACCGTTTTTAAAACCTCTGGGCCTGAGTCCTGGGCTGTCATCCCAGGGGACAAGCTAAGAGAAGTGTGAAACTCTCTGCCATTTGCTACACAGCGGCAGCTCCCCAGAAGAATGCAGAAGAAGAAATGTACTATAATTATTTCTCAGACAATCTCTGACATCCTCTGATTTTAGGGCTAATGAATCAACTAGAATCATCTCTTCTTTTGTCTGCAGAACTGGATTTACAAAAGCATAGCTGAGATTATATAATTCTTATGTTCCCAGAATTTTAAATTATTCTTTATTTAAACAAAAAAAAAACCCACAAGAAGCAAAGCAGAATATTTTCTTATTTGAGCCCTTCACAAATCTCAGATTGCATATCAAGGAATGTCATGCAGTTGACCACCTTGTCCCATCATCCCTCTTTTTAAACAGAGTGTTTTCTCCTCACATTTCCATTTTTAAGATCATAGCTGTCTGACTGCCTGTCTGAGCCATCAAGAGCACATGTAGACATAAATCACTTTTGCATTTGAACTGCAGGGGTGAAAGTAACTCGTTACAGAATCTTAGTGTCCTGGGATTACTTTCTTAGGAAGGCATTCCAGTTGTGTACGTACCCCGGGGCCTCTTTCTCCAGGTTCCCCTTTTTGAGTATCGCCCTGTGACAAAAAAAAAAAAAAACACACACACACACAATCAAAATTCCACAGCCCTGCAAGGTGACTAATTGCTCAATAAAATGCACTATTCAGAATTCCCTGATTAAGAGAACCCAGTGGGGAAAATATCTTTGGCCTTGACCATTGACATTTTCACCAGACTGTCTAGGGAAGAAAATAGCAGCTCAGATAGCCTTTGCCCTTTGGAGTGAAGCCAGATGTAGAGGGCGCAGAATCCAGGTACATTTTCACAGCCCTGGCCGAGTCTTGCGTCCTAGTTGAACAACACAGCCGTTGTTCTCAAGTAGGGCATTGTACCCACTCGGAGCCAGCCACTCTGGCTTTTCTCCAAGGGGCTTTGGAATGTTTTCCAAAATGTCCTTAAGAGTGATGGCTTGATTTCAGCAAGACTTAGGAAAATATATTATGTGGCACAAAATTACAAGCTAAATAAATGAAATGTGCATGCAGACTTATAATAGGTATCTAATAAAACAAAAAGAACACAAGATGGCATCAATTCAGACTCATAGAAAGTGAGTGAGTGTAGGGGATGTGTGTGTGTGTGTGTGTGTGTGTGTGTGTGTTGTAAAGCCACCCAAGGATGCTTTACGTTCTCTTTCTTTGACAAGCAGACAGTTGGCAAAAATACTTTCATGCATTTAACTTATTATATTATTCATTACACCCCCTAAACATATTCTCAGAAATAGAGTTATTGGGGTTACATTTTAAATACTTGAAAAGTTTCTTATGTAGAGACAATTGCATCCCCAAACATCTCTGTGTCTGTACCCAGTTACCTTGGCAATGAAGAGGAAACCAGTTTCACCACCACTTTGCTATCACTAGTTATTATCATTTAAATATTGTTGTGTTCACTGCTGTAAGAAATGTTTTTTTTCTAATTTGAAATACAGAAAAAAGCAAAGTATGTGAACTAGAAAGTTGTTCCCCACTCCCTAAGGAAACTCCAACAAACTTAGAGTCCAAAGTTTCTAAAATGTGAATAATTGGTAGTAAAGAGTACCTCATGGTATCTATTTAAATTTAATTCATTATCCAGTGAAATTAAACATTTTTCTATTTCTTTATTTGCTGGGTTTATTTCCTCTCTTGGAAATTATGTCCTTTGACCATTTAATTATTAGAGAATTTATATTTTCTCATCTGTTTTTTAAAGTCTGTATGTACTATAGCAATTAACCCAATGCCCGTGGTATTTGATGCAAACATATCCTATATGTTTTCCTCTTTATTTTCATTACTATTTTTATTATACCCAAGTTTTCCTCAAATTTTCACATAGTCACATCTGCTAATCTCTCTACTATGATTCCTTCAATTGCTCTTGAACTTGGAAGACCATCATTCCAATAATGATCTGTTTTTTAACATTAACCTAGGATTTTTTTTTTTTGATGAGTAGACAAAAAAATTGAGGAAATGCCTGAAGATAGTCTGGGAGTAGAGACAATCTGGTGTTTTTTCTATTATTATTGTAGGTCAGTTATCCATAAAGTGGAGTCATAAAAAAATACAAGTGCCAGTGGAAATCTGATATGGAATTCATGGAACACTGCAGTAATTAACTTAGACCCCCATTGTTTAAGAGCAAGTTTCTTTTTATTCAGCGTCTCTATGTTTCCTAAACTGGTTGACTAAAATGGGCATATGTGTCACAATTTGTAAATACAAGCCTGCAAAAACCAGACAGGAAGTGAACAGCCTGTCTTCGTCACCAAAATCATCAGATTTTTGGCACTGACATATACTTCAATGCTCTTTGTTTTCTCAATGTTTGTTCTTTAAATAGAAGGAAATAGAACTAGAAGGAAATACATTAGTTTAAAGGAAAAGCTGTTTATTTATTTACCGGGTTTCCTTTTGGTCCTCGCTCACCTTTGATACCTGGGTTTCCATGTGTTCCCTGAAGGCAAAGGAGAAGGGGTTATGTAGAGTTGGCATTCTATTAGTCTCCTACACGTTACATTAATTTCTGATCAGTGTCAACCCATAAAATGAGGGAAGATTCTAAAACAACTTTACCTGCCAAGCAGAGATTCAACTCTGTTTTGTCCTTTACTACACAGCAGGAGGATGGCTCTGTCTTGACCAGGCAGATTCTCTAGATTTGCTCAAAAAAGGATACTTTCTCTCTCTCCCTGATGTCCAAGGGACAATTTTAAAAGATGGGAGAAGAGAGTTCTTCCATCCTGTTCCAGAAAGGCATTTTGTTTTCCTGTTCTAAAACCACCCAAAATCTCCCCTTTGCGTGAACTGGTTTTGGGAACATTCAATAAACGTTAAATAGCATGGTTCTCTGGCTTATCCCTATTAAACCTGTCATGGTGACCTCCCCTAACAATATCGTGTGACTGAAATTGTCAGATTAGCTCAGTGGCTGTAAATTTTCTTACTGTTAATTTTAAAACATAATTGAATATCCCAGGTTAACTTTCCCTGGTAATCTCTTGGTACAATAAGCATAAACTAAAACGTTATAGGAAGGGTAAGTTAAACCTTTCCTTTGGTCTTGGTGTGTCTAACTTGTACTTTGAAGGAAAAAAAAAAAGCCAAACACTCCCACTTTCTAATGCCTTGATTGGTAGCATAGTTTGAAAAAGGACATGCTTTGGACCCAAGACTTAAGGGAAAATGTGTCGTAGTCTAAGAAATTCACTGCACACATTCCCCTCCCTGCCCCCAAATAAAAGCATTGGTTCAAAACCTTTATCTATGCATTGTTGTCAAATATCTCTGCTGGACTTGGACTTCTACGGTTGGAAATTACAGAAGTACATGAAATACTGAAGGAGCAGCATGGAGGCATCTGAAGATGTGTGTTAGAGAAAGGTTCAGCATCTCCAGCCATTGTGATGCCACTTCCACTGCCTTCCCAGTGCAGACATGGCACCAGCCAGGTATCTGGCCAGAATATATGGAAGCACTCCTTTGGGGATTATCTTCTCAAGAATGGAATCGTTATAGTAAATCCTGCCATTTCCCTTTGGCTGCTAAGTGGTATCTTCCATTTCACAGAACTCACTCTCATCCCCAAAGCCTCCTGATCAGCCGCCTCCGCACGAGGCATTTTGGTGCTGCCCTTGGATAAGTGCGAAGACACAGGTAACTTCTGGAGAGGTCTGTGTCACTTGCTCTACGTGGAGTAGGATAAAGCTTTGCCTAAAGCACTGAGGATTTGTACGAGCTCTTTGTATCTTCACTTCAGTGTTGAGAAATTCTGGCCCCGATTGTCACATCAGAAGTGATGCTAAAATAGCCTTTGTGGGAACAACTTCATCATTTTAAACCAAATCTGCCCTTAGTTCAGGTCAGTAAAATCCCAGGCTTATTTCTAAGGACAGAATGTATCCCTTTAGGAATGAAAGAAAGAAACAGCATTTCCGTTTTTGCTGCTGTGTGCACACAACCGCTTTTCAACAGTACAAAATAGTCTCAGTGTTTCTGGGTGTGAGCAGAGCTGTCATCGCTGGGACTCCTGACTCAACCCCAAGTTCGAAGTAGAAATATACTCACAGGAGGCCCTGGGTCGCCCGGATCCCCCTTCTCACATTCACAGATCTTGCGTTCACACTAGATCAACAAAGAAACTTGATATCAACATGCAATGAAATATATAGCATTTTAAGTCTCATTCAGTGCATAACTAAATGGAACAGTCCCTTGAAGAAATTTTACCTTGCAAACGTATGAAACTTTTGCTCTCCCTACTAAATTTTTCTGGGAAAAAGATCTAGTAAAAGCCAGCCAAAAGAGTATTTTAAATGTTGTCATAGTTAAATAAAATAGACCTCCCAGCAAAAAACAAAGCAAAACAAAACAAAACAAAACACACACACACACACACACACACAAAACTGTAACATCTAGTTGCCTATTAAAAGGGGAAAATAAAAATCACCCTCAAATGATTTAAATATTTCCTACTTTTTCTAAATTTTCCAACCTGCAGTGGATATGGTGGCATAAAAGAAATCAAATGGCTGCCTCAGAAGAGACTGGCTCATTTTAAAAAGAAATTAAGCATTTTTATTTAGTCACACATTATCTTCTCGTGTGAGTTACAATGCTGATTTGATATGATTATGTGAGCTTTTAGAGTAATTCATAGTAATCAAAGCATGTGGTGCTTACCTTCTTTTCAAATAAGACATCCTAGGAGGGAAAAAAGAATGAAACATTAACTCGATTCATGGTTCTGCTTCCCACTTCTTATGAGTCTTAATTATTCCCTATGGGATATGCAGTTTCCAAGAAGAACAGCAATTCAGCCTTTTTAACCTTGTAAAAGCAACAAAGCCCCAGCCAACCACCCAAGGAACTCTGAGCCACCGGCTCACAGAAGACATGAAGAGCACTCAACTCATTAAAAATTACCTTTTTCTAGGAACTTTATCTTATTGTGTCCTGTGTTTTACCTTTTGTTTCCTTTATCAGCTCTGCAATCTCCATAATTTGGCTACAAGCTTAGTCAGTCACAATGAGAAATTTCTCATTTTTACTTACAAAGACTTAGGCAGAATATGCAGTTGTGTATTTTCTCTCTGTTTCTATCCCCATATAGATAGGCAATTTTTTTTAGCATTAAAACATTAATTTTAGGCTGATAACTTCATGAAATATTAATGAGCCTTAGAAGTCAGTGAGGTCCAGCCTCTCATTCTGTCGTGAGGGAACTTGAGATGCAGTGCTGTGACTTGCCCAAGGTCACACACTTGATCTGAGCTGCCTGACCAAGTTCAGTTCCATTTCCTACTTAACGACACAGAAGTGAGTCAGCCAGAATATTTTTCCAAACCACTTTAAATTCATAATTTTAGGGAAATTCACAGTGTGGTTTTTGCCCAACATCTAGGCCTCACTAACCTCCTCTAGCTCAGTGGGGAATTACCTGACAAGTGCACTAAAGATTGTGTCTCAAGACAAACACTGAAAAGAAGGTATGTCTACAGATAGAATTATTGCTTGCTTTTTTTTTTCAAACTTGCATAAGTATTTTTTTGAAATCATCTTTGATTGCTTTTATTATCATTTAAAAATTTTCAACCTACAGGTACTACAAAATTTTTATTCAATTTATATCGAACTTTCATTTTTGGAGCTATGATAATTGATACTGGTTTTAAAATTGAATTATTGCTTTTTTAAGGTAGAAGTTATGGGTCAAACTAATGCCTTATGACTGAATCTGAAGGGTAATTTACATATGATAAAGTGGAAAACAGGAGTAAAAAGCACTAGAAATATTGGTCACAAGATATTAAAAGTAAAGGATGTAACGAGGAAGCTAAAGATAAGTCAGGCTTGTGCCTTTACAGAGGACTTTGTCCCCTTTTAGTTTTGTTTTTACTTTTCCTTTATTTCCATATAAGTTAATAATTTAGAGGAAAGCTGCCGCAAAAAGCTTTGGGTGACTCTGGTGATTTAATTGAAGGAAGAATTAGACTGGGAATTAAGTGCCATTCAGGGTTTTCACCCAGTTCCCACGGAAAACTAGTCACGTGGCCTTGGGCAAGTCAGATAATCCTTCCAGGTCATTGACCACATGGTCCCTGGAGCTGTAAAACTCTGGCCACAGACACTATTTACCAAATTCAGGGTCTCACCTATGGCGCTCTTTCCCCCTCCTCTCTTCTCTCCTACCCCAGTGATTTTGAATTACTAGCTAGTGTAAATTCAGGCTGAAAGCAGATGAAATATTTGTAGCTTTAAGAACTAGGAGGTCATGTGGAGCATGGGAACTCAAACACACTGACAATTTTGGGGTAAAATGACATTATCCTCTCCAGAACATTCGACTGTGCCTAGAAAGTTGAAGGCTGCCCAGGACAAGTCCTTGTTTCCAACTGTTATCCCAACATCCCTTTCAGACATACCCTTGAAAAATTCTTGTACTTATATATTTCAGCATTCATTATTTTTAATAGTGAAAATTTTGAAATAATGGAAATATCCATCAATTGGGGAACAGATCAGTAAACAAAATACTACTCAGCAGTTAAAGTCAATTCACTGGGTCTGCATATTCCAACATAGATAAATTTCCAAAAACATTGAGTGAAAAAGCAAGTTGCAGATGGATACATACATGGTGATCCAAATTATGAAAATATTTAAAACATACGTCAGAAACTTGGTTTCCTCTGGGAGGGAGAGAGGGAAAAGGAATTTGAAAGGTGTTCAAGAGAGACAATAAAACAACTAGTAATTGAAGTCAAATTGTAATATTTGAAAATAACTGCTGATATAAAGAAAAATTCAAAATTGCGTTATTTTATATACCCTTTTATGAAAGCAAGATCCTTATCCATTTTAAACCCATGAATTTAGCTGCTACTATGCTTGATGTATAATTTTGCACTTTTTTAGCTTTTCTTTTGAAAATTCAATTTCTGCTTTGCCATATCACCCTTTAAAAATATGTGCCACAAGGCTTAAAAACCGTAACAAAACAACTGACTAATTATTTTCGGAGCTCGTTTGATTTTGTGTTTGCTGGAATTTATATTTCTGTGGAAACAAAAATGGACCCAAAATGGCACAATAGATAAAATTGTTTCAAACAAAGAACAAAGCTCCTTCCCTAAGGGCACTTATAGTCTCTAAGCCCCAGTGATAGAAAACAAACAGTGTACAGCCAGCCGTGTGGGAAGGAGGCCCTCGCCTTGAGGGGCAGAGGAGGGAGCGACAAGATGTTTTCTTGGAATAGGTGGGTTTTCTGGATAATTTTGAAGAAAGGATTGCAAAGGGTCAACTTATTGATGGAATGCTGTTCTATATGTCAAAGTTTATAAGGGAAAAAAGCCATAAAGACTAGTGTGGGCAATAAGACAAAGGAAGCAGTGAGGAGGGACATTTAAAAGGAGAGGACAGAAGGGCCCACGTGGCCGGAGCTGGAAGCCGGGGAAGTACTGAGGCCTTTTGCTTCCGCAGGGAGGCAGGCTGTGTGGAGAACATGGTCAAAGCCAGAGAGAAGGGCATGTTCAGTGGAGGTCTAGGTGGGTACTGCAGTCTAAATGAAAAAGTCTAAATAGAGGAGGGATTTCACCAGAGCAAAAGAAGGCGCATTTTGTTAACGGGGTCAGAGTTTTATGACTGCGTATGTGTGAGAAAAGAAGGCTAGGATGGAACTGCCAGCTTTGTGAATGACTGTGAGGTCTATGTGCTGAGAAGGGAACAGAAAATGTGAGGAACACGGCAGGTTATTAGCATGAGGGCCAATGGATGAGAATTAAGAACTTAGTAGGCAAGGGTTACAAACTCCATGACAAAAAAAATTTACTGCTTAATGTAGTAGCAGAATAGCCATTATAAAATCTTAAACAGAGAAAAGGAATAAGGCTCTAAACAGAGGAAACCCTGAAAAACTGAGAAGTGGGCCATAATTAATAAATTAATAAAGCACAGGATTCTAAAGATGAGACAAAAATCATCAAGTTGATCCCCTCTTGGTATGTGAGGGAGCAGATACACTAAATTGATGTTTTTCTTAATAGTCTCCAGAGAAAGAGATCAATTTGTCACAACCTTAATCCCTTTAAAATTTTTTTAATATCAAAGGTGATAGAGTAAGGAATTTTTTTAGTCTCCATGTACTCTCTCTCGTGCTTTTTTAAAGGACCAAGTAGTACATCCAGAAGATTGGTTTGAATTTGTTTCTTAGGGTTCAATACTGCTATGTAAACCCTAATAAAATAGCAATACAAATATTTTCTTCACTTTGGGATCATCAGGTCTCTCTTCGCTAATTTGGAACTCAAATGTTTTCATGGGGTTCTTAAACGATACTTCCTGAGAAGTGTCAAGGAATGTGCAATGGTTCAATGATTTGTCTTGGCTCCTGCAAAATCTATTCATTGTGGACATTCCTGTCCGTAAATTCAACTAAAATCTACTCTGCAATAAAAGGAACACATTGCTGACATAAAAAACTACCCAGATGAATTTCAAAATCACTATACTGGGAATAAGAAGCCTGACACAAAAAGAGTACACAGGGTATGAGCCTATTTATATAAAATTCTAGAAAGTATACGCTAATCTGGAATAAGTCAGATCAGTAGCATCTCAGGGGCAAGGGAAGCACGTCTCGCAAAGAGGCTTGAGGAAACTTTTAGGGATGATGGAGATGTTTTGAATGCTACTTGTGTTGGTGGATTCATGGGTACTTACATCTATCACAACTCATGGAATTGAGGACTTAAAGTAGATGCAATTTTGTACTTAAACTAGACTCAATTAACTTATTTTTTAAGAGTTAATTACATCATTATTTCAAAATAAAAAGCTTAAAAATTGAACAATAGGTATAATAACAGATTAGGTGAGAACTTTCTCAAATGGTCTGATCAGTGCCATGAGAAGAGTCAAGTTCCACTTCCTAGACAGTGGCAATTTGAAACATTGAAACTTGGTGTATCTTTCTTTGAAAAGCCTAGTAAGCCCTTTGGATTCTGGACTTTGTTTGAGAAGCAACACCTCCTTCTAAGAAGTGCCTTGTTCAAGGGGCTTCCATCTGAACAAACAAGCTGAAAGCACAGGATCCTAAGGAAAAGCAGAGTCATTAAGATGCCTGGTCATTTTTTGGTTTCCCCAGAAATAGACAAACAATCTTGCCTCCTGTCTGCTGCCAGGAGCCCATGTTCTCACTTGGGCAGGAGCTCCTGGCAATGGTGTGTCTGGAGGGAGCATGAACCTCCTGAGCCCACACATCTGGCTGAACAAGGAGCTGCTGTTCTGCATCTTCTACAGGCAGCCACGGGTGACTCATCACCACAACCCCATCTCCCCTGCACACGCTGGAGCCTTCTGTTTTAAGTTCAGTGATGAGGACTCCTTAAATTACGGCCCAGGCAGGGCTCAGCAGTTGGCCAGGCATCCCTGCACGTTCCCCTTTCCTGCAGAAGAGATGCTCACGTGAGTAAGCATTGGCCCCATGCACCTGGGGGGCTGAGCCCATCATCTGTGGTCCAGGCAGAACTGTCCACATCTACCCCAATGCCCAAGGGAAAAAGGCTAGAAACAGTAGTAGCTTTGATGGAGGGATGTTCCTAAACTGTTTCAAGGCAGTTTTGATTGAGAACACCTTAAAAAAAAAAGTTACTATTTCCCCTCTCAGTATCACTTTACAGGGTTAAGTGTGCAGACTCCTGGGTCTTTGCCTGGCCTCAAATGTTCAACTATAAAAGGAAGATAATAATAGTACCCACATCATGAGACTGTTGTAAACGTTGAATAAAATAAAATATGTGAAGTGCCCAGAGCAATGCCTACTACACAGAGAGTACTCAAGACATGATCACTATTATTCAGATAAGAAAAACTCAGCATCTCATGATGCAAACAACTGAGAGAGAAAAAAATCAGAGTAATCTTGGGAAAAAGAATTGGGGGAAGGGACAGAAGGAGCAAAACAATCTCTGCAGCGGGGCCTGAGGTTTCTTCCAGCCCATGGAAAAGAGCCACATGAAGTGCCCAGGACCTAAAGGACGCATTGGCCTTGGCTTCTTCTCAGGAATTATCTTTAAAAATCAACATTTTTAAGAAAATCAATTTTTAAGACTTAACAAATCAACCACCTTATCGGTGGGAGTTTCCTCCTTGAGAAATACAGTGAAGAGGGATTTTGTTTCGATCGCTTTGCCTGGTGTTTCCCCAAGCAGCAAGGAAAGGCTCTCACGCACAGCCAAGCAACCAGTAAAGAAAAGCAGTGACATGGCTGATCAGACTAATCAAGTGGGACTCAGTGGTCTGATGGGAGAAACTGCTGGGCGACTTTTACATTGGGTGACCTTGTTACCACCTAAGAAATAAGAACTAGAAAAAAAAATTGGAAGTCTGTGAACTTTGCTTGAGCATAATACGGCAACTGGTAACACAGAGTCAAAAAATATTTCTGCACATGTGGCATGGGAAAAGAAGAACTTAGTACAAATATAGTAGACTGCAAGTTGATCCCAAGTCAAATATAAGTCAGCAGTGTTCAGTGAGCCCAGGATGTAAAAACAGGAGTCTGAGGTGCATGATTGGAAATTAATCCTTCCCAAATCCTCAGCACTAGCTGACAATAAAGTTAGGAATGTAATCCCAAAGAATGAGCCTGGTACTTCCCGAGGTCATGTGGTGTAAACCAACAAGGACGTAGAGAGACACATTGGAAAGATTGTACTTTCCACTTCTAAGGTGAAATTTTTTCCTCTCATCTTTTTGATCCAGTATCTATCCTTACAGAATTTGTAAACAAATGATAAGAAATTTATATAAACCCAACCCATTAGGTACCTACCAGGCGATCCTGAATTTTATCTACAAGGGATGACTCATTCAACAGTAGAATGGGTTCATTGGGTGAATCCCCAGATATCAGATGAAGTTTGGTTTCATTGACTACAGGAGACAGTCCAATGGTGATAAATAATATTCCTGCAGTTCTGGCATCTTCAGAAATACTTCGAACATCTGGATTCTTTGGATGGTCGATGCCATCAGTCATCAGCAAAGCCACTTTCACGCCATCTTGACGCCCTTCTCTCTTAAGCAGGTGAGTGGCGTTGGAGATGGCATAATAAGAGAAAGTACCTTGCCCAATGAAATTCATAGACTTGACCCTCTGTTGAAAAGACTGTAGATCCTTCCAAGAAGAAAAAGGTGGATCAATTTGGACAGAGCTGCTGAACTGAAGGGCTGCCAGTTTGATGTCATATTTCAAGGAGCCAGCTGGGGTCAACTGGAAAACCCTGTCACTCAAACTATCCACAAAATCCTTCTGTTTGTCAAAGAGAAAGAGTTTAGAACTTTCAGAGCTGTCCACGATGAAGACAACATCTATGAAGCAAGTAGAGTCTGAAATGGGACAAATAGGTTAGGCAAAATACTTATCTCTACACCTGCAACAACTTTGCATAACAAAAGCCCTGGGGTGGGGTGTTGTGTGTTGCTTGCTTCCGAGAGGAGAGGGAAGTGAAAAAGAGAGAGCCCTTTGGAGATAGGGCTTACTTTGTAAAAATCCAAATCTCTTTTCAAGTCCATAAATTCTTTTCCTCTTTTAAAATCACGCAAATGAAAGGCAAACAAAGAAACAAAATCCCATATACTCTGAGCATCTTCGCAAGGTACAACCTTAAAGTGAGAGGAAAAGAAAGTGCATTGGAGCTGAAAAATTCAACAAACCCTGGGCAAAGTTGTCTAGAAGTAAATGATACTCTGCCTGCTTCTCAGGTTGTGTGTCATAATGGCGAGGCCCATCTTGTTTTGGAGTCTTTTTTTTTTTTAACTTTTTTGAAATCAAGGGAGAAATGACTGTACACATCCCATTGTAGCAATGGTAAGGGAGGGAGAAACCTAATGGAACTTGAGTCTGAATCCCAGCTCTGTAGTTTACAGGTTAATTTGCCCATGACCTTGAGTGTGCCACTTAACCTCTCTGGGTCTCAGTTTCTTTGTCTTTGAAAGTGGCAATGCCTGTCATGCCTATTTTACAAGGCTACTATGAGGGTCAAATGAGATAATAAAGGTACAAGTTCTCTAAAAACCCTGATGTTTTTATAAGTTAACTCTATTATAAGTATGTAAGGTATATCATTATCATAATATATCAAAAAAGAATATCACATATATACATAAATAAGTGGTTTGCTGCTCACATTAAACGCTATTTGGAAAAATTCATATTAGTGTTTTTAAAGGCTAAAACGAATAAAGACAAAACAAAACTTTTTTTTTTTACCCTGGAGATGACTTTTCTTTGCAAGTAAGTTGGACTTTGATCCTTTCTTTCTTTGTCCATATATTGTTTGACTCATAAAAGCTGGCAAGAGCAGGAGATAAAAGACAGAATGTCTGTTCCACATTATGGTAGATGGTGAAAAATCATCCGCCTTGTAGTAAGTGCCTTTAATAGAAAAATCAGTTATAATATTTTAATAAATTAGAGAGTTTGCTATTTTTAATTTCAAGCCAGCAGGATTGAAAACTGGCATGTGACAAGACAAAGGTGTTTTCATTCATATTTATTTTTTAAAAATCCACATTGAGATTTTTAAAGTTTCTAATCCAGATAAATCATGGCAACACAACCAACCATTGATTAATGACTATTTCCTTATATTCAGAGAATCACATCAAGGTAATCTGAATTTCCCATTATGGGGATCAGGAAGGGGGAGAGCTATTTTAGAATATTTCAGTCCCACTCTATCTGGTAACTGTGGTTCCACATTCTCCAAGGTGATATCAGATTGCTGCAAGATTGTTTCATTAGTTTTCATTGTAACTAATTCCTGACCATACCAATATTTTTACAGCATTGTAGAGAAGCACCACCATTTCAGTCTTAATATTATATGCACAATTTCAGTGAGTTCAGAGTCAAGTCAAAAAGTAAATTGCTCTTCTGTTTCCATAGAACCCCATTTTCTACTTTTACTTCAGAAACTTCATCTCCACCAGAGTTCCAAGTTGTATTATGGCTGCATATCCAATGAATCGAAAGAGTATGAGAGCAAAAAATAATAGATTTGTTAAGCAACACTGGTCTTCCAGTGTTAGCTGGAAGAACTACTAGACAGAAATGGACTTGAGATCAGGAAGCAATCCCTTCTGAACAGCCCCGTAAAACTCTTTTTCTGGGTAGATTAACAAGTTAAAATCTAATCCTGTATTTAAGCAAGCTTCATCACTCAGTATGCCCAGCTATGTACCAATGACTTTTAAATCCACAGACTTCCCTGGCAAGAGAAGACTCGTGTGTAGCTAGCTCAGTATACCCAAGAATGGAAACAAGAAAGCTTATTTTGAACCAATGTTCTGCATGGTTTGGAAATAACTTGCCTACTTTAAGTATACCGACTTCAGAAGTTCTGGAAAAGGAATCAAACTTTACTTCTTTGGCACCTTGCCTTCAGGGAATGATAACTGGGAAATCGTGAACATGATTTTTCCGGGCTCTGAACAGCGGATGGAAATACATGCAAAGGCAGTGAGGAATGAGATGTGTGACTAATTTCTTTCATATACGCCAGATGGAGAAACCCTAATGAGAGGTAAAGGTGTTGAGTTGGGGATGGACCAATGGATGGCTCCATGCCATAGTCTAGCAGGAAGTTTATTAAGCTGACTTTGTATCCGTGTATCAGTATGGCCAAGCCTATCTCCTGGCAAGGGCATCAGGTGCAAGTCACCAAATGTCAGCTGCTCTTCGGACCAGGTATGCTAAGATGTGAACACAGCTGGGTATCGAAAAAAAGAAGAAGAAGTGTGTGCTGAGGAAATAGAACACAAAAAGGACACCCCTCTCCAAGTAGTCCATTGCTAATCAAGGGGAAGACTACGGAAGGATGTCCAAGTTTAATGCTGAGGATTAGTTTAAGGATAAGGCCGTGTAGCAACACAGAGTTGCCACTGCATTTTCAGAGGGAAAAGGAGTAACATCATGTCCCTAGTATTACCTATGACGCCTCTCTTTTGTTGATCTCGTACCATAAGGAACTTCTCAGACGTTCTGGAAATGAGAGACTGAGAATTTAATTTCATTGAGAACAAGAGCGATTTTACAAGCTACATGATCTAGACAACTCTTGAAAAAAACTAAAGAAGGGGATTTCCATGCAGGAATCTGAGACAAAAACCACTTTTTTTTCTCATTTGCAAGCCTCATTTTGGACTTTGGAAATGCTGGCTGTAAATAAAGATATCGCTCCCAAAACTAAGCACTTGCTCATACAGTTTGTCAGCATATAATTACGAATTCATACCTGAAGCCTTGCATATACAATGTTCCCTAACACAACCGATTCATTAGCAGTAATCACAGTATCTTATATTTTATTACTATTTGCTCTGACTTTTTTTTTATCCAGTTCTCCCAAACCAAAGTCATGCTATTCCTTTCTGTTTTCCGATATTACACGGTTCTCTTCATGAAATTTCTCTCTTCTTTATTATTTTGGTCTTATTTCTAATCACTTTTGCCATATTTTATTTTGCCTCAGGTTTTAATAATTCTCACCTTTCTCTCCTTTAAATATCACATATGAGCAAAATAGATTTCAGGGGGAAAATACCATTAGTTAAATAAAAGAAATATAAACCTCTATAGTTATTATAAGTTACATTTTATAAATGCAGAAACAGTGATTATCTTTAACCAAATGCCAAAGTTTTAGCTTTTTTCCCTAAAACTTATCTTGAGTAAATATCAGGATCAATAAATGCAAGAAAATTTATATTTAATGATTTCTTCAAAAATAAAATTATCTTTCAGCAGAATTCAGTAATTTTATTCAGTGTTTGCCTGTTTGCCTCTCATTTGTTTTTCCACGAAGATAAAATGACCGAATAAAGACTTTATTCAAATTGCTAAACTTAGCATACTGTAAAGAATTCTGCAATTAATACTGAATTATAAAAACTTGTTCCAAGTTAAGAAAAAGATGTCCCCAAAGATAGGAACATCACTGTAATGCTATGTAGTAGCTGTAAATTAAAAATCAATTTTGAGATAACTGCAAATTTAAAATTTTTACATTTTAAAAGTTATTCATATTTTCCTAACAAGGCATTTAAAGTAATAGCAGAGGATAAAAAGTTTTGATAAGATTTCTTCGTACAATAAGTATGTAAACCATTTAGTCTTCCCGTAATTCCTAGAAGTTCTATCTGATTTCAAGTGATTAAAACAAAACAGTTATGTCTTACCTTATCAAGTTTGTCAAACAGGAATTTAAAGACTGGTTAAGCAAATGCCAACAGCAAGGACCATTGTTGGGGTTGGAGTTGGCTATTAGATACTGTTCTGTTGTTCTTTGGGAAATAAAAATTGTCTTTGCTTTTGGATCTTTTGTAATCTTTTACTCATGTTTTTTAGACTAAGTTAAAGCAAGAGTGGTCAGGCATTTGGCCAGGGTGCAAGATCTGGGTGGGATCAGTAAGTAATTTAAAGGAACAGCGTCCTTTCATAACAAGTCTGTGTTTTCCAGGCTGTTGTAAAAATAACTTGAGCAGATTTTCTACATTTTAGGCACTTACGGACAGCCTGCTTTTGTTTCTCATGCTATGTCCTCTTTCTATTCCTTTGCCTGGGCTTTGCTCTATAAGCTGTTGGTTCTAAACAGCTCTCTGAAAGAGGATAAATCATACCAGACTCAGATGCACACCTGGTTTTTCAAGAGAGGCAATGAGTTGATAATTATTGAAGCTGAGTGATGAGAATATAAAAGTTCATGCATGATTCTCATCTCTCTACATCTGTGATTTTTGAAATTTTTCATAATAAAATGTATAGAGTATATCGTGGAAAAGGGATCTGAATTTAATTCTGGTTCTGTCTCTACCATGGGGACCTCAGTTTCCCACTTACGAAATGTGGGAGTGAATTTCATTATTGATCAAGATCCTTTCAAATTGTAATGTGAGAGGTGGGTTTACAGTGGTCAACTTTCTGAGGTCTCTGTCCAGGAAAGCAGTCACTATAGTGGTTCCATTCTCTTTTTCCCTCTTTTCTACCTTGGGGTAACAGCCCATAATAAGTCAGTGTTTCTCGGTGCAAAATGTCCTGCTTAGAAGCCACTCGACTCCTATACAACTAACAGCAGGCTTCTCCCTCCACAGACTGCCTCAGAGATGGAGAACAGCAAGGTGATCACAGAAAGCAATATAAACGTTCATGTTATAATTACTTAGAATCAGCTTTCTTAGGAAGACTTTTAACATTTATAGATCTGCGTACTGTAGCAATAAAAGTTTCATGAGCTCTTTACCAGGTGTGAGGCACTGTGCTTCACACACATTGTGGGATTTAACCCTCTGAAAGCAAACCACCTACTTACGGCAAGTGCTGCGAGAATTCATGTTTTGCAGATGAGGACGTTGAGGCAGAGAGGAGTTCAGTAACTTGCCCGCTGTCACACTGACGCTAGAGAACACCAGAAAGGAATCTCAACTCATGTCTATCTGATCCCCAAGGCTCACCCATAACAACTGTATCATTAAACTAAGCATCCTTGTGTGTGTGAATGTTTTCATTGTCTCCTCACCACATAGCAGTTTTTGAGGCACTGAGTTTGTGGGGCTTTGGTAATAGAAAAAAGAAACGTGGGTATATCACAGAAGTAACAATGTCATTTCCCAGAAAGCAACCACATACATACCTTAAATAGCTTGTGGATGTTAGCCACTCCTTTCACTTTTGTGAGGTGAGAATCGTGACAAGGAAGTGGCAATTTTTCAGAAGGTCAACTCTTTTTCCTGGGGTGGATTAACAACCTACAGAACAATCATACCTCTAAGAAGCAAACAGTTGATACCTGGGGGCAAAAAACAATCTCAAGCCCTCTTGCTTTGGAACTGTTTTGACTGAAATAGAGGAGGGGTCAGAATCCTGCCTACTCACTCATGTCCCCCTGTCCTCAAAGTCAGATTGGGCAGCCCAAGTCTGAGGTTTGCCACCTCTCACTCCCAGATGTGGTGATCAGCACTAAGTTGATTGGTAGGTGACTCAGAGGAAAACCTTGTGTTCTGTCAGTTCAAAGGGCAGTTAGGTTTCACCCAGAGAAACAGTGCACCATGGCTGAAGACTGCAATCTGAATCCTAATGAGTGGTCTTGATTTGGTACACACACAGACCACATAAAAGAGCACAGATAACAATGATGACTAGAAAAAGGCAACTCAGGGTCCATGCTTTTCTGACAGTTGTTCTGTAGCAAAGAGTAACATGCTATTTTTGCTATTACTGCTGTGGATGGCCTGGAGTAAGTACTCAATAAATACTTGTTGATCATTAAAAGTAATTTTTTTAGTGTTCATCAGTCACTTGAGAACCCTGATACACTACATTGCTCTCCTTCGAAGCACTGCTAGACAGGAAATCTTTTCTCAACTTTTTCAAAAAATTTTAATACTCTACCATACAGAATCTGTGTTGGCTTTATTTGTTTCGGTACCAGTGCCAAGAGCTCTAATTCAGTAGTGATGGTATTTTGAGGTCCTAGGATCAGTTAAAAGGAATCAAAGTCTGGGATGACTTGAATACATTGGAAGGTGTTATCTGGTGAAGTCATAGAAACACAAAAAGGGCTAGTAACAGTCCATAGGAAACAAACTTATGGTTACCAGGGGATAAAGGGGGTGGGAAGTGATAAATTGGGGATTCGAAAATTGCTCCTCTTGGGGAGTGATAGAAATGCTAGCTATCTTGATTGTGGTAGCGGTTTCATTAGTGTATGCATCTACCAAAATTCATCAAATTGTACATTTGAAATATGTGTAGTTTACTGGGCAAGAATCATACCACAATAAAGGTGTCAAAATTTTTTTTTAAAAATTAAAGAGCTCGTAATGTATCAGCACAAATTTGTACCATAGTTACACATCTGAACTAAGACCAAGGTATAGTTTAATGTGTCACAGTCTTCTCCTAATTTCACCCACCTCCCACACTGCTGACCCAGAGTAGAAAAGAACACTTTCAACTGAGAAGAAAGAAGCCAATGAACTTTTTACCCAATTTGGAGAACTTTGCCTTTACAGGTCCCCTTATATTTTTTTCAATATAAAATGTTGATACAGTAGAATTTCTAACACTTGCCCCGAAGTTCTGAAATTTCTGTGATTCATTATCCTTCCGGGCTCCAAAAGTATGTTTTAGACATGCTCTCACATCATTCACAGTAAATTAGAGAAACATCAAAATGGTATTGGTCCTATTTATCATCTAAAGGAAGGATTAAAAGCATTCAAAGACAAGGAAGTGGAAGTTACCCTCTGTAATGAAACGTAGGAAACGTGGCATCCGTAAGTCTGGAGCAGTGTGACTCAGGCACCTCACCCCTCACCAAATTCTGGTGACGTTGGCTTCCACGTTCCCGCTACGCAATTATTTTTTGTTTTGTTTAATCCTTAATATATCTTGCTTTATTTGTCACTTGGTCTCCAATTTGAATAATTGAGTCACGTATGCAAAACATAGTGCCCTGGCCCACAATGACAGTGTGAATTTCCACTGTATCAAACTTATGACTATCAAAATCTTTCTCTTAAATTTTTCCTTAATATAGCTATTTCCTCCTTCTGTGTTGTTTATTTTTTGCTGAGAGTGGATTATTTTATGACAAAAAGTCAGAATGCTCCTGAAAATTTTTACAGCTTTCCTTTCTAAGAGATCTTGCTCTATCGTAAGTTGGAAGGTCCAATTTTCTTTAAATTATTTTCCTCAGCCAGTGGATAGAGAAGTCTTAACATTTTCATGCAGAACTCACCAAAGAAGGAAACAGAGGGTCCATTTATTAAGCTTTGACCAAACTCTGCCTTTAATGGGGAAAACACTTTCTATTTTTCATTTAGTTTATTTTACTTTTGGGTATTAGAAACTGTCATATTGTTTCTTTGTACCATCCAGGTTTGTGCCAGAGCAGGAAAACAAAGAGGCTGTTTTATGACCAATAATTTCTGTTTGAAAAATATGGATTTTTCTTTAGTAGCAAATGACTCAGGACAAATTATCATGGGCTAAATTCTAGCACATAGTGAGTCTCATCTCTCACTTTGTAAATCTTAATGCCTGGGCCTTCAAAGGCAATGAACACCATTTTTTAGAGCCTTGAGTTGAACAACTTTCTCCTCTAAGTTTGGGCAAGTTTGCAAGACTAGCTGGGGATTGTTACACTGATTTAAGTAACCTGTGGTGTATGCTATTGATACTTGATCAAAATATATTCAGTCATATAGGTGGATATTATTTGCATGAATAACAAGCTGCAGAAACTCAAAACCCATTTGAGTTTCCTGGTCAATCTATTTGGGATTTAATAAGAATATTCCACAAAGAAAGCTTTAAAAATAACTATCAAATTCCTGGAACTAAATTGTTTTAAGAACATTACGTAACTTATATCCGACATTCTGTCTATCCATTACTCCTCAGGTTCACACAACGTTTCCCCCGTTGGGGTAACAGAGTCATCATTTTCTGAGTTACATCTAAATTAGTTAGCTCCTCCTGTACACTTGTTTGTTCTTCTTCTGTCCTTTTAAATTCTGAAGTAAGGGTAAATTACTCATGGACAAAGTTTATAGTGAAAGGAACTTGAGCTGAATGAATATTTTATTATTTTGGATATGAAAAACCTTTTAATAATATACAACTCTATACAAATATAAGGTACGTAATATAATTATTCATTGTTTATATACATTACTATCGATTCTGAAATTACACATGTATAATTTTATTTAATGTAATTAAATTTTACTTAAAAAAAATATATATATATATTCTGTTATGCTAATTAACAAAATTCAAAAATGCCCAATATCCAGAAATTAGGACTGACCATGGGTCTTGAGGGACTACTGTTTGAAAAAAGGTATTTGGGCACCACCTTGTGGGACTTTGTAGAAAGACACCATTAGAGAGCTGATCTACTTTAACAAGATTAAAATTTAAATTCTTGATTCCCTGTGATGCTGAACAGGTAGAATGGAAGTTGCTTGCTACTAATTTTCTGGGCAGGAGAATAAGGAGATGAATCAAAGAGGTGGAAAAATTACTTTTATATATGAATCAGGAAACTAACATTTGATGAAATCGCAAACACATCCATTTAACAGACATTAACTTCATTTCTACTATGTGTAAGGCATTAGGTAGAAAACAAGTAAGACCCAGTCACTTCAGCCTAGTGGAAAAGATAGGTAAGTAAAAGTCAAATTTTACCAAAAAACATTTTTAAATAATCAAATATCAAGCTCTAGCTAATAATATCATAAGGAAGTATTTGGGAGCAAAATGTACTAGTGTCTGCAACTTACTTAGAAATTCACTATAAAAAAGAAGATGGATAGAAGGATGGGTAGATGGATAAATATTATGAAATGAA